TTAATTTACTTCCTCATATAATTACATATGTTGCATTAACACTTTTTTTTTTCTCTCACTGTATAAACAATTAAACTTCAAATATAGGCGGATGAAATCATAGAAATCCAAGACAGAATGAAACTATGTCCACGTGACATCCATGGCATATTGTTGCTCCCCGCTTTTTCTTGCAGCTCACACAAATCACTTTTATGGGGACTGGGAATGTCTTTATCCCCTAAAAAAAATTAAGAAAAACTAATGAAAAAAATTTGAAAACTTTGAGTTTTAATGAAAATAACAAAATAAGGGGTTAAGTGAATAGTACTATGATTGACTTTTTAGTGTAAAAATATGGTTTTTCGTTAAAGTAAATAGTACCGGAAGTTTTTCGTTAGAGTTCTCTATTAATTCCCAAGTTCTGCATGTTAATAGGAAGTGGGATCTTTTCTTGATCTAATCTATTTTTTTTTTTTCTGTCTTCTTATTTAAACGATTACCGTTTAACAACGTTAGTATCTTCTTTTGAATTTTTTACAAAGAGAAAAGACAAAAAGAGAAGTGTGAAAGGAGAGAAGCAAAGGGGAGATTAAGTGCCTTCTAGGCTCCCACCATGCTTGAATTTCAAGAAGAAACTCATATGAAACCATAATTGTTGCCTTAGTATTTTGAACTAAAAATATAATGTATGTATAAATTTTTATTACACAATATTTTATTATTAAACAAAAATGTTATGTGCCGGTAGGGATGGACAATGGTTATGGCGGACGGGTAACCGTGGTTATTTACCCATAACAGTTTATGTTCATACCCGTGTAACCGTTTACCCGTTGGGTAATTGCATAAACGGTTATACCCATACCCATAACCGTTTATAAACGGTTAACCATACCCATAACCGTTTACCCATTTAACCATAATCATTTACCCGTTTACCTGTTTTTGAACCTGTTTGTCTTTTTTTTACCCATTTACCCATTTTTTCACCCATCTACATGTTTTTTTTTAACAACTTGAAAATTACAAAAGAAAAATTTGTCATAATTTTCGTTTTTCTGACAATTAAACATCATTATAGTTACATTTTAGCATGCATTTCCCTATTGTAATCATTTAAGTCATCATACAATTCCAATAATTGAAATAATAGTTTACGAATGATATTTTTCTGCTACACCCAAGCAAATCTTTAATTATAATCCATATGATTACAAAGTAAAGCTTCTAAAAATAAAAAATAATCATTATTTTGAATACGAAATGATTCAAAGCTGCAAAATAACGTCAATTAACTTTGCCAGTTGTAACTTTATGGTAATGTTAAAGGAACTAATAGCTTCTTTCTTAGCTTGAACATAACAAGATTCCAAAAGTACAGAATATCAATTGGTTCACAATCTTCCACATTTTTCAAATATTCCACAAGCACTTTTTGGCATCGACATTTTCTCCTCCAAATAATCAAAACCAACAAAAATTCATCTCAGGTTCTTTCAATTCCAACTTCATGGCAGCAAAAAATTGACGTTAATTCTAATTTGACTTTTCATTTACGGTTTTTAATTTTAATTTTTTTTAAATTTACATATATTAAATTAAATGGGTAATTGGATACCGATTATAACCGCGGGTAATACCCATAACCGATGGATACTTGTTATAATTACGGGTAATACCCATAACCGTTCATTTAAATTTCACGGATAAATGGTTATACCCATAACCCTTTGTTCGTCTAAACGGTTATCCATAACTATAACCATGAACTTTAATTGGGGGGTAACCGCGGTTACCCAAACCCATGAGTATTTTGCCCATCACTGCGTGCCAGTCAAGCCGTTTTATACAAATTGCTCTCATATTTTTGTTAAGATTGCTCTCATGAACCTTTTTTTTTTTTTTTTTTTAAACAAATGATATTATCTATATTATGGGGTGGAAGAGTAAGCTAAGTCTCATAATAGGCTATCAATAATATAGTTCAAAATTTTCTTTAACAATGATCGAACTTAAGACCTCTCATTTATAAATAAAAAGAATATTATTAGATTAAATTCCCCATCTTAGCTCAATAACTTGGTTGATTTCTTGAGTATAAAACTCTTTTTATTAGTTTAACAGCTTAGTTGGAATGTAATGAGAGATCGCATAAATGTTACAACGTTTTAAGTATAAACTTAGTACCATTGAAACAAGGAACCCAAACTTTTATATTGATATCTGCTTCATCTCTTTTAATGAATGAGCATCCTTTCTGAATTCTCTTTGTGAGGATCTTAGGATTCTCCAATTACATCTGTTCATCGTACATCGTACGGTCAGTTTTTGTTATGTATAGTTTATATTTAACTTTAAATAAAAAATTGATAATAATTTCTAGCCGCACGATATACGATGAACGGATCCTCACAAAGAGAATCCGAAAAGGATCCTCATTCTCTTTTGACATTGCATTCGTGACGTGTAAAATCAATTTACACCAGATTTGGTCGTCTGCAAATTTAAATAATATTATCACATTGAAATCGACATTTTCCTTGGGAAGAGATCCTTCCGGATCTCTTCTACTAAAGTGCACCAATTAATTAATTCGGGCTCTTAACATTTGATCAAATAACTAAAATTATTATTACTTTTAAAGGATCCTCATGTTTATAACCGTTTGTTCAAATTTCAAAAACACTGATTAATTAATTGATGGGTTTTGATGGAAGAGATCTGGAGGAGATCTCTTCCGTTTTCTTTAACCATCTTTTTAATATTTCTTAGCCCGCAAATCGCGCCAAGCTGTCCCTGCCACTCCATGCATCCATGCATCCGTGCACCCGTGAGCCCTCGATGAGCTTTCGTGTATAGTTTTTGTTAGCTTATCGTCTCAGTTTCTTCACAAAATACACTAAGCTTAAGGGACGTTTTTGTGCCTAGTTGACTTCTCGTAAGTTTTTATATATAAACTAAACATGCTGACGGTCAATAACACAAACTTACGAGACTAAACATCTGATCATGTCATTCTTATTTATTACAACATACATGTATGATCCATCACGTATCATTGAAATTCATATGTGTACTTTTTTTTTTTTTTTTTGATAAATAAGAACTACGAGAATAATCAATACCAATATAATCAAAGTTTAAAGCAAGAAAGCGAACAGAGGAGCTACATATTCCCAGATCTGTACATTTTGATAATAAAACTTAAGAGATGATTCCAGAAAATTATAGAAAGAAAATTCTAACCCAATTAACATGCAAATCACGTTATGAACTTAATCATGATCATTTGAATGAGCGAAATGCTTTTATACTTCAGAGTTTGTAAAAAAATTGTGGGAAGATGTGTGTATCACGTTTCTTCCCAACCTAATTCTCTACTGTTCACCACATCGCTAACATATTGTTTTTATTTATTTAATTTATTTTTTTTTTCCTCTCATTCAGCGGAGGAGAACAACCAGTATATTATCTCAATAGCACAACAAATAATTGTCAAATATTTGACTGATATTATCAATTTATTAGATAGTTATAATGTGGTATCACTCGAAAGAAAATGTCTCCATCATTGTTCCTTTATATACAAGCAGCAATGCAGCAACAAAAGCATGAGTACTGTGACATTCCACATCGTTCAGGGAAGTGATCCTTATATGTATATTCTCATCTCTACCTAGCACGAGGTCTTTTGGGAGCTCACTGGCTTTGGGTTCCATTGGAACTCTGAAGTTAAGCAAGTAGCGCGCGAGAGCACTCCCATGATGGGTGACCCACTGGGAAGTTCTCGTGTGAGTTCCTAGAAACAAAACCGTGAGGGTGTGCTAGGGGCCCAAAGCGGACAATATCGTGCTACGGTGGAGTCGGGCCCGGGAAGTGATCCTGCTCGGGCCGGGATGTGACAATTTGGTATCAGAGCCTAACCTTGGTCGTGGTGTGCCGACAAGGACGTCGGGCCCCTAAGGGGGGTGGATTGTGACATTCCACATCGCCCAGGGGAGTGATCCTTATATGTATATTCCCATATCTACCTAGCACGAGGCCTTTTGGGAGCTCACTGGCTTCGGGTTTCGTTGGAACTCCGAAATTAAGCGAGTAGCGCGCGAGGTCACTCCCATGATGGGTGACCCATTGGGAGGTTCTCGTGTGAGTTCCCAGAAACAAAACCGTGAGGGTGTGCTGGGGGCTCAAAACGGACAATATCGTGCTACGGAAGAGTCAGACCCGAAAAATAATCCCGTCCGGGCCGGGATGTGACAAGTACTCTCACTCAATGTAGACCAAACATGGCGTATCTATACAACTATTACACGATAAGATAACAATGACCTAAAATCTGGAGATAATCTAAAGATTAATAGATTTTGATACTGATAGTGATAGGAAAAAGAACAAAACAGCTTTAATAAAGTTTTGGATTCAGAGTGAGTTTGTCACGCTTAAATATCAATAAAAAGGTTAAAACATGTCAATCATATTCTGTAATAAAGCTCCTCCTTTTACTTTTTGTTTGCTATTAACGACAAAATTAATTAAGTGGATATGCGACCAATTGCCCTATAATCAATCTCGTACGTCTCTTGTTTTCTAAGATTGTGGTTTATGAATTTTAATATGACACTCGCAAATTTTTTTGATTTCATGTGTTAGTAAACTTTGTATAAGTTAAGAAGCGAAATACTCTAAATACTTGTAGTAGCAGCAACAGAATTTGAAATCGTAATAATTACAATAAGCATTCCATGCAAGTAAATATGTCATCAACCCTAATAAGAATTTTCTTGAAGGTTTAGATCCAATAAGATTATTTTCAACTGTATCAAGATTCAAGTTTCAAAATTCTTAGTGGTCACTTGATTCAATTCTGCCAAACTTACAAGAACATGGCAATTGGAAAATGCTAATCAAGTAGATTAGACCACTTTAATCATCTTGCTTCTTTTAGTTTCACTAATTGTATATATAACCAAAAGGGCAATCTGGATGGGATATGTTCTTGCATTTTGAGCTCAACAAAATTCTCACTAATGACTGATTATAATTAACCAACAGAAAAAGAAAAACAAACCAAACATATCCCATATATTACACAAGGTAGATGTTCTTCCATTTAACATTTACACATAACCTTTACGGGAAACGATTTTCACACACCCCTTTTCTCCTTCTCCACATCTCTATTGTTTCAGTCTCTTGATTCCCGTTTGATTTATTCAATCCAAACGCTAGAAATAAACAGGACGTGCAAAGAGAAAACAAGTGTTGTGAAAATCAGTTCTTGTGTTTTGCAGCAAAGCGATTAACAAGTGCTAATGCATTGCTAGTGACGTGAGCAACATTATTGACTCTTCTCCTTATAGCATTCTTTATATTCCCATCCATAAAACGACCAGAAAATCCATCAAGGCAAGTTCCTTCGTCAGTGAGTGCAGCACTAACCCATGTCTCCACATTGCTCATGTGCCACATGAAGTCCTGCCCAAACGCTCTCCCCATATGCCCTAGTTCCCGGACCGATTGGCGAGCCGGTCTACGCTATCCCCCATGTTTTCTATGCAGTCCTTCACAGCTCTGCACTCCCTAGGCTTGATCCCCCTAACCCTAGTCAGCTTTGTCACAAAAGACGCGGCTGACCGCACCCGGGCTAGGCTTACTGTCAAGGCAGTTTCAGCTAGTTGCCTTTCACTTTGCCTTATTGCACTTGCGTAGGCTGCAAGGCTTTGGACACAGAGGGCAGGGTACTGGGTGGTTCTGCATGATGCTTTGATGAAATCTGTGGAGCTTGAGTGTCTGGCAACGGCGGGGCCGGCAAAGTATGCCGTGCCAATGGAACAAACATTGAAGAAAAGGACTAGAAAGGAAAGGAATATATCTCCGAGTCTTGCCATGTCTGTAGGGATGGGTAGGATTTGGATGATTGTGAGAGTTAATATAGAGAGAACTCACAAGGCTTTTTACTTTGTTGGAGATTAAATATAAAAAAAAAAACTAATGAAAATAGTTTGGGAATTTTGAGTTTTAACAATAAAGATAAAATAAAAGGTCAAGTGAATAGTATCAGGATTGACTTTTTAGTGTTAAAATGTGGTTTTTCGTTAAAGTGAACAGTGCCGGGAGTTTTTCGTTAAAGTTCCCTTAAATAAAAACACCACAAGCAAACGCAGAAATGGACGTAATCACATTGGCTAGAATAGATATGCTTCTCTTGTACATTCAAGTTTAAATCTTTTGTCACATAATTTAGAATAGTTCGTAGTAAAATATTTGGCTAGAATGAATATGCTTCTCCTGCCGAGAATCTCTCCTAAATCTACATTGATTAGAACACATGTATTTTTTTTTTTTTTTTTAAATTCAAATCTTCCATCTCGGAGTTTAAATTAAGTTAAAGTAACAAAAGAAAAATAAAGCGGTCACATGCCTACTTTTCCTTTATCTTCTTCTACTACTTTCCGTTTTTTTTTTTTTATTACCTATTTAGTCTCTTTATTGTTGTTTACATTTTTTCAACTTTCTTTGGTTGCACGGATTTTAAAGATCACCAGTTTTCTTTTGTTCTAAATCTATATCTTATCCTGAATTCAGGATGAAGATCTTCTTCGAATTCTCTTTATGCAGTCAATTTTCGTTAGATATTGTTTATGTAATTTTAAATAACAAATTTAAAATAATTTTTGACCACACACGATAAACAGATAGATGTAAAGATTTCTACGATCCTCACAATGAGGATCCAAATAAGATCCAAATCCCTGAATTCGATTCCTGAAGTTGGTGAATTACACGATAATGATCATAAAAGGCTGAAATATTTATGTGAGTCTTCGCAATCTCCAAATGATGAACTCGGTGACGAACCTACTAGCTAATCCTTTTTTTAGAGAAAATAAATCTACATCTTATCATCTACTGTGTGGAGTTAATGTAAGCCTAACCATTTTAATTAATCCCAAAGCACCTAGTTATCTACTTTATTGCATTGATTTTTATAGTTTGGGGCAAAAGCAGAATCAAAGTAAGATTCGGCCAAAAACATTAGTCAGTCTAGTGTTGAGTTACTGTTCATTGGCCTACCTTGTGTAATATTCCACCCAAAAACCAAATACTTCAATAACTAATTTAAGAGTACTAATAGTTATTCAAAAGCGGGATTGGATACTTCTAGGCGACTAGTGGATCGACTGGATCACATAATCCCGCTCCTGAAGGGCAAAATGGGCTTGAACAACTATACTTTAAAGGCTTCAAGCATAGAGATAGCAACGGTTGGGTTTGGAGGGCAGAAATGTTATATCTATTCCCATAATCACGAAAATTAACAATATTCATAACCGCAAATTAACCATCAAGGATTATCCATAACCATATTCATCGGGTAACGAATTTTCAATCAGTTATCGGTTATATCCATCATCGTAAAAAAAAAGAAAAATTATATTCATCCAATTGACGCATTATAAATTTTAGTAGATACTAATTCCATCATTAAATAGCAACATCCAATTACAAAAAACATAACAATATATTTGAAGTTGTTCATGATAACATGCATCAATTTCTTGACAGTAAGACTCTTGAAGAGAGATGAATCTGATAAACTTGTAACATTTGATAATTGATATATAAAATGATTCAATGAATTAATTTGGTTGAGTATAACAATAAAAGTATTGAATTGAGGAGGTTGTTGGTATGCCCCATGCATGATGTTTGGTACATAATAAAGATAGTATAGGGTTTGATGCATGCATAATGAATTAGTATAGGGAGAGTTCGGTAAATTGAATAAAATTATATTATATATCAAATATATATATATATATATTTATATACATATATTTGGGTCGGATTCGGGAATGGATACGGATTGGAGACCCCTATAACCATATCCAATATATATATATATATACATATATTTGGGTCGGATTCGGGAATAGATATGGATTGGAGACCCCTATAACCATATCCAAAACCATAACCGAATAAGGTTCACGGTTTTTCTCCATATCCGTACCATACCCAAATTTTCATATCCAAATCCAATCCATTCGGACAGTTATCAACGGTTATCGGGTTTAACTGTTAGAATTGCCATATCCCTATTTAAGCATAATATCTCAATTAACTGGATTAAGTAATACAAAAGTCCCTACCACCCACCTACATCTAAAAGCACACACAGAAAGTAAGGAAAAATTATGTAATCCCAGAGCTCGTTGCAAACCCAGATAGATAGGCACTAACTCAACACAAACATGCACCAATCAGAGACACTTAGTTCTATCCAAGCAGAATAGTGGCACGCATGCATTTGATCTGTACCCGTAGTGGAGGAGTATCCTTCTCTCCCCTCATACTTGGAACGGTTACAATTCAGCCACGTCAACATCTTATATCAATTTTTTTTTATAGGGACAAAAAGACAAAAAGCAAAGTGTGAGAGAAGAGGAGGGAAGGGGATGAGAATAGGAGAGAGAATCCTACTCCCTCCATAATAAGCCAGATAACCACATGAAAACAACATATTCTACTTCGCGCTTAAATTTTGGCAAAAAAAAAAAAAATTCCTGTGGCTGGATTTGTGTTGAGCATCTCTCTGATATATTACTTGGCATACATGTGATTGTAAAAAAAGCAGAAGCTCCTGTTTCTGAATTCTACTGCATTTTACTTTATGCTTGTCAATAAGTGCTTTCCAAATCAGTAACCACTTCCTCGGATCACTGCTTCTTAAGTGCTTTCAAGGAAATACACTGTTAGCTTCTCATTTCTATGAATCTATGTGCTAAGTGATATATTCATTTACAAGGAAAATAAAAAACGTGAACGGTGATAGATTGGATGACAAAATAGAATCCTGTCTCTCGAACAATGTTTCGATTGATGAACAAGAAAATTAATGAATCAACTACATAACCATTGTTTACTAGAATGCGTATCAATAGACTACGAAGATGAATTCTATGATTTTCTCATAATAGTAGAAAGATGTAGGATGTCACGCTACATATATTATTGCCTGTCAAAGCATGTAGTGGTACAATAGTGTTACTGAACCTCCATCTAAAGACTAATCGAGCACTTAATATTTGCCATCGCAGAACTAAGCTGTGATGTACTTGAGAACAGCCCCACGAACCTTTTCCATGAACTCTGCTGCTTGCTTCTGCAAGTCATAAATTAACATTGATATAGATCATCAGAGAAGAACTCTTTAATTTAAGGAGTTGGTATACAAGATAAGTTGTTGGGTTACTGCTTTACTTAGATCTAAAGAAGATCATTACATCCACTGAAAATGAAGTGACCTAAATATAATTACCATCGATTCAAGTTCTACAACCAAAATCTCTTCCAGCTTTACTACTCATCTAATTCTATCTATAGGTGCTCTTTTCTTTTCTGATACAATGATATATTTACACTAAGGGGGTGGAAGGAATATATTGGTTTTGAACTCGTCATCCATGAGATCGAACCTAAGACTTCTCACTTACAAGTGAAGAGGAATACCAATAGACCGTAGTGCTAAGTGGCTCTATATGTGCTCTTCAAATACCAACTAAAGCAAGTAACCCAAAATAGTCTGACAAAACAGAGCTTTTTCTAATTTCTGCATACTAGGTTAAGATCCAGGCAGTTTTTTTTCCATCGTACAAGACTAAGCTTTGTGTTCATCAATGGGCAGTGCGGTGACAGAAGGAACTAAGTTGCACTTTTTAAGTTGAGTACACAACTAAGAGAACGTACTTCCTTGCATTTTTTACTGCGTTCATAATATCTTTAACCTAAATCACAACATCTACTTTTTAGTTTTCTGGTGATAAAAAAATCTGTTGCATAGCATGTTAAAGTTGACTACGGTATGGTTTATTCTCTGCTAAAAAACCAGAAATACAAACAAAGGATGAAATGAATTCTCTCGTGCAATATGAAAGAAGCTTTCCCAAGGCGATTTACCTGGTTACCCTTGTGCGCATTTGCTATGTTTTCGTCAAGAAGAGTCAAGAAGGATCTATTCAGCTCAGTTGTGTTCAACCATCTCTAGTAACTGCATTGTCAAGATTTATTTAGTTGAGCAATACAAAATACTTAATTGTTAAACTAAACGCTCAATGAGTTAAAAGGGCAGCACATACAGTTGATTTTACATCCTTTGAAGACAGGACTTTGGTCAGACTTAGCTTTGCTTTAATGAGGTCGGTTTGCATTTTGTCATATGCTTCTGTAACAGAAAATGGAGCACTTCAGTAAGCAGGCAAGAACACCAAGTCTTTATCAAAAAAGTTCGTGAACTCTTAACAGACCTGTCCCTTCCTGCAGGGCCTTCTGCAATGCTTCCAGCTCAATCAATCTATCTTCTATATCCTGAAAAAACCATCAGAATACCGAATGCATAGTTTCGGTGAGGAAGCTGAATGTATAGTTTCAGAAATTAACCCAAATTTATAGATTCAGGCAGGAACCTGAGTTTTTGAAACAGCAAACCGAAGCTGACCTAGCTCATATTGTAGGTGTGAGAAAAACACCTTGTCCAATCTGCATATAACATAAGCAAGGGGAAAAATTGGGGAAACGAGGCTAGTTTGTGGAGAAACTTTTCAAAAAAATATTTATAATATACCGTAAATAGTACAGAAGAGATAAATTGGAGTGCAAGAAAGAGTAAATGGGAAGCACTAGTGCCACTTTAAGTTAATTTAACTAGGGGAAAAAATCAAATGTGCAAAAGTAAACAAGTAACAAAACAATAAAAAGTAAATGTTAGGCACATTGATAACTGTATTGCTCAAATGAAGTGGCTTTCTAATCGTTGTAAGTTGGCAACTAACTGGAAAGTATATCACATACAATTGAAAAACCTAAACTTCATGTGATATATCAATGTTAACAGTTCGTTATATGAGGTCTATCCGTCTATATGAGCTCTTGGCCACCTTCGTTTCCAATTGCTATCAAACTTTTTATTCATTGAAGCATCTCCTCAAACAATTGGCGTGCATTCCTACTTGTTTGCTTTCTAATCAGTCTTCACACAGAAATGGGTTTAAATAACCAACCTTGGCCTCAACCTCGAAATCTCGAACTCAATCTCCCGAGCTTCAGTGTTGAGAAAGTACTCTATCAACTCCTCCGCCGTATCTGGCGCAACCCGGGACTTCAAACAAACACAAACACAAAACAATCAAACCCAAAAACTAATTATTTAACAAGTGTTACAACAAAAGACCCAGTTCGGGAAAATTCAAAACCCAATCGTCAATTTACTTCTCTAACAGTTCGACGCCGCTCTTTCTCTTCAATGACTTGGCGTTCGAATTCTTCTCGAGCATCGGCGTCTTTTTCCAACCGCCTCTTGAACTCTATCCGAGCCAAATGGCCCGTCTGCGGTGGTCCCAATACACCCTCCGGGTCCTTCCTTAGATTAAACAACAAATCAAATTCCAAAACACTTCAAAATTTGAGTAAAAAAAAAGAAAAATGTTATTCTTTGGATTTGCTACGAAGTTTTGGGGAAGCAGAGTTTGAGGGGTACCCATCCAATGCAAGAAATTCTTGCGGTCCTCGAACGACGCGGCGTCGGCCTTTTAAGTAGAACAGAGCTGGTGGTGGCGATGCCAATGCTTAGAGTTAGAGCAGCCATTGTTTTTGAAGCGCTCTGCTCAGCCTCTGGTTTTTGCTGTGCGTATTTGTTATCCGTTTTGGGGTGGCAGAGAAAGGTAAATAGAAAGAAGTTCGGGGCGCGCAACACAACCAATGTCTGAACTCTTTCTCAACCGACTAAAAGGTGCAAACAGCAACAATGAGCAGCCCTTTTGCGGGCCCAAGTGATATTCTTGGGCTTCAATTTGAGTTTTGGGTTTGGGAGCTTAGATGTGGGGATTTGGGTCTCACTTCAGCTGCAAACCCACTCTTAACTAGGAAAACTATAAAGGGACATTTTTTGTCATTCCTCCTTTATTTGCAAATTTATATATACTAAAACCCCGTCGATGACTACTCTTCATTAATACTACCCACCCGGTTTTGTCCCTCATTCTCTTCATGCTTTTTCAAATTTAGTGGGGTTGTATGGTGAATTGGCGATTTTGCCCTTCTCTCATTTTTCTTTTCGTGGTTGTTGTGTGGTTCCAGCATCTTCCCCTTTTCACTTTCCTCTTCCTTCCTTCTCTTTCCGTTTATCTCATCCTATAACGGAAGAAAGATAGAAAATCAGGGCTCTTCCATTTGCTTCCACAGATTTCTCGATCTCTCTCAAGCTTCGGATCGCTAACCTCCATATGAAGGTTCGTCTCTCTCTCTCTCTCTCACTTTTTTTTTATTCAATTTGTGATCGAATTTTCTTTCCAAGAATGTTAGATATGTTGCCATCAGGAAGAAAGTTTAAACATAGAAAAGCTTGGTTTTCAAGAAATTGTCAATCCTGCAGAAACCTTTGGTTTCCTGTTGAGTTCTCCAGCATAATGTTTTGGTTCTTCAGCATATTTGTTTTGGGTTTGGATTTGAAGGATTTTTTTACCCAAAAAAGCTAGGGTTTCCTGGTAAGTTTTTCGAGTCTTACATCTTGGGGGTTTTGTTTTGTTCAAATATGGGGTTTTATGATTTTAGATTAACAAATGGATTGAAATTTCCTTTTTTTGATTTCACCTCCCACTCAGAACTGTTATAAATATGTAAAAGTTAGAGAGATAACCTTTTTAGTGATAGGTGCGAGGCAGATGTAAAATGTCACACTGAAACTATAGCACAAGAGGATAACAAATAAAAGACAAAGGAATAGATGATGTTATTAATCTTTCTTTCTCTCAGTTTGTATGTTTTTCTCTGTATTGAAAGCATACGGAGTGCTCTATTTACATAGCAACTCCAATACTGATGCATTAATCATACATTGAAAATTTACAACATCCCTTGAAAATATGATCTCTTGCATCCCCAAAGTCAATTTCAATCTGTATGGGAATTGAAAACTTCTGCCAAAGTACTGTGGGCATTCACTACCCACCAGCATTTTCAACACTCCCCCTTGGATGCCCACATATCAACATCAGTTACCTCGTTAAAACTTTGCTTGGAAAAACCAAGTGGGAAAAAACCATAGCGAAGGAAAAATAATACAACTTTTCCTAGATTGTTGATATATTGTTAAATATACTTATGTTGCCTCATTGAAACCTTGATAGGAAAAACCCGATGGGAAAAATCCTAATCGAAGGAAAAAGTGTACAACTTGCATGTATCATGGATGCTCCCCCTGATTCCGCATTCTCTAAATGTAGTTGTTTGGTAAGTCGACGTAATCTGATACTTTATATTAACTTCTGAAACGTGCATTTTGGTAGAGATTTGGTGAACAAATTTACCAGATTTTCATTAGAACGGATTTGTCTGACTTCAATAACTTTAGCCTTCTGAAGCTCATATGCACTAAAAAACTTGGGAGATATGTGTTTAGTCTTTTCGCCCTTGATGAATCCTTCCTTCATTTGGGCAACACAGGCTGCATTATCTTCATGAATGACAGTTAGATTGTCTGTCTTCGAAGTTAGACCACATGAATTCCAAATATGATGGATCATTGATCTTAACCAAGAACATTCACGACTTGCTTCATGTAAAGCAAGTATTTTTGAATGATTTGAAGATGTAGCAACTAATGTTTGCTTGGTTGAGCGCCATGAGATTGTTGTATCTCCATTCTTAAACACATATCCAGTTTGTGAGCGGGTTTTATGCGGATCAGAGAGAAAACCAGCATCTGTAAATCCAACAAGGACTTGGTCATTTGTGGAGTTCTTTAAGTAGAAGAGACCCATGTCTGTTGTCCCACGAAGGTATCGCAATACATCTTTGACACCTTTCCAATGACGAATTGTTGGAGTAGAGCTATACCTTGCTAACAAGTTGATTGAAAAAGCTATATTTGGTCTAGTACATTGTGCTAAATATAACAAAGCACCTACTGCACTCAAATATGGTACTTCTGGACCAAGGACCAGTTCATCATTTTCTTTTGGACGGAATGGATCTTTCATAATGTTCAAAGAACGAATGACCATTGGCATGCTGAGTGGATAAGCCTTGTCCATACCAAATCGCTTCAGAATTTTTTCAATATAAGCTGATTGGTGGACCAAAATTCCACTAGCACAATGCTCGATCTGCAGGCCGAGACAATATTTTGTTTTCCCAAGGTCTTTTATTTCAAATTCGCTTTTCAGATATTCAACAGTTTTATTGAGCTCTTTAGGAGTTCCAAATAGGTTAATATCATCAACATATACTGCCACTATAGCAAATCCAGAGTTGGATTTCCTAATGAACACACAATGGCAAATGACATTGTTGATATACTCTTCTTTGAGCAAATACTCACTGAGACAATTATACCACATTCGTCTGGATTGTTTCAGCCCATACAATGATCACCTTAATTTGATCGAGAGTATACCTCGTGGTTTGTTACTTGTTTCAGGCAACTTAAGTCCTTCTGGGACTTTCATATATATGTCAGTATCTAATTCTTCATATAGATACGCGGTGATGACATCCATAAGTCGCATGTCAAGTCTTTCTGAAACCACTAAACTTATTAAGTAACGGAACGTAATTACGTCCATTACAAGAGAGTATGTCTCCGCGTAATCAATTCCAGGTTTTTGCGAAAAGCCTTGTGCAATGAGTTGTACTTTATATCTTGCAATCTCATTTTTCTCATTGCGTTTCCTTGTGAATACCCATTTGTAACCCACAGGGTTTACACCAGATGGGGTTTGGACTACTGGTCCAAAAACATTCCGCTTTTCCAAGGAATTTAATTCTGTCTGGATTGCATCTTTCCACTTAGGCCAATCCTGTCTCTGTTTGCATTCATCAACAGAGCGGGGCTCAATATCATCACTTAATATGATTTTAGTGGCTACTGCGAATGCGAACATATCATTAATGATTATGTCATTTCGATCCTACAATTCATTTGTACATGCATAATTTATAGAGATTTCTTTACTTTCATGTACCTTTGTTTCTTCAGGTACATGTGTCTCATCAAGGACATTTTCTTTTTCTGAAAGTACAGAATCATGAATTGTGGATGTGTCATTCATTTTTTCTTCTTGAATGATCTCATTTGGATTTAATTGTGCCCTCGTCTTTCCCTTTCGAGGGGCTGAATCTTTTGAATATGGATGTCTACCACGCTTTAGGCGTGCACCAAATAAATCATTCGTTGCCACTTTATTTTGTCCAACAGGGACATCAATTCTTGCAGGTGCATTTACAGCTGGTATATGTGACTTTGTCACTTTCATTGCATCATTAAATGCATCTGGCATTTGATTAGCAATACTTTGAAGATGAACAATCATTTTCACTTCATTTTCACATTGAATGCTTCGAGGATTAGAATGAGACAAGGTGGGAACAACCCATGTCAGCTTTTTCCGTTCTTCTGGAACAGTCTTTTCTCCCTCTAACGACGGGAAGACTATCTCATCAAAGTGACAATCAGCAAAACGAGCTATAAACATATCACCTATCAAGGGTTCCAAATATCTAATGATAGATGGTGAGTCAAAACCCACGTAAATTCCCAGTTTACGCTGAAGTCTCATTTTAGTGCATTGCAGCGGTGCAATAGGTACATAAATAGCACAACCAAAAACTCGTAAATATGAAATGTTTGGTTGATGTCCAAACACGAGTTGTACTGATGAGTATTGATGGTTGGTTATAGGTTTCAATCGAACCAATGATGCAGCATATAAGATGGCTTGCCCCGATGCAGATACTGGCAATTTAGTTTTCATAAGCAGAGTGCGAGCTATTAACTGAAGTCGCTTGATCAATGCTTCTACTAAACCATTTTGAGTATGGACATGAGGAACGGGGTGTTCAACATCGATGCCCAATGTCATGCAGTAATTATCAAAGGTTTGAGACGTAAATTCACCAGCGTTATCAAGTCGGATTGAGTTAATGGGGTAATCTAGGAACTGTGCTCGTAACTTAATTATTTGAGCAAGAAGTCTCACAAAAGCTACATTCCCAGTAAACAAAAGACAAACATGTGACCATCGGGTAGATGCATCAACCAAAACCATAAAATATCGGAATGGTCCACATGATGGTTGAGTAGGTTCACAAATATCCCCTTGAATTCTTTGCAGACATGATGGGGATTCAGCATCAACCTTTAGTTGTGCCGGTCTAATTACCAACTTCCCTTGAGAACAAGCCTTGCAAGGGTTATCATTTGAGTTAGCAATGTGTTTGCTCACTAATGGATGTCAAAGCATGTAAACTTTTGAATCAATGAACTTCTGGTTCATGACAATATGTGATTCAACTGTCTTTATGTATGTATAATACAATCCACTCGACAAACCATGCAATTTCTCCAATATACGCTTCTGGGTATCATTGGAGGTAATGCATAGATATTCCACATTTTCTGCACTTTTCGTTTCAATGTGGTATCCATTTAAACGTATGTCTTTGAAACTCAACAAATTTTGAGTAGATAGCGTACAACGCATTCTGTATGGACAATATTGTTCCATTTGGTAACATAATCTAAGCTTTCCCTGAGTATTCAATTACATCTGAAGGTCCTGATATTGTTGTTACCCTTACTTTTGTAAGCATCAATCTTGAGAAATACTTTCGATCTCGAAGTAATGTATGCGTTGTTGCGCAGTCTACAAGACAAATATCTTCGTCATTTCTCATGTTTTGAGAA